CCTGAGGAACACCACTCGTTACTGGCATCCACTCAGACATTGGGCCACTGACCACCACATTCTGAGTGCGGCCATCCAGTTCTTTATCCATTGAGTGGTCCATCTGTTAAATCCATGTCTCTCCAGTTTCGAGACAAGGATGTCATGTGCGACAGTATTGAAGTCTTTGCACATGTCCAGGTAGATGACATCTGTTGCCTGTCCTCTATCCACCAGGGTCGTGACCCCATCGTAGAAGCCACCATATTTGTCAGGCACGATCTGCCCTTGGTGAAGCCATGTTGGCTGTCACCAATCATCTCCTCATTCTCCATGTGCCTCAGCATGGTTTCCGGGAGGATCTGCTCCATGATCTTGCCATTTCTACGGGGCTCAGTTGCTGGCAGTAGCATCTGGACTCAGAATTATTTCATCAAGAATTAAATGGAATGAAATATTCTTAACGCTGTTTTTTCCCTAAATGTTGTCCTGTAAATACGTATAGCTTTGCTTCATCTGTCTCTGAGCTTTAGCCTTGGCCATGACTTCAGAACAATGCCAACTTACATACAAAGAGAGAAATAAAGAAAACACAAAAACCCCAACCCTGGAGGTCCGGGGTATGTATGGATTTAATTTTCAATCTAACTAGTATCCATTCCTGTAATTTTTCTCTAAATATGTGATAGAAAGGTCTTTCTTCCTGAAATGAGGCTTGAATCCCCATGCATATACCAAAATACCCAATTCCCTTCTAGGCAGTGAAAAGGGATCCAGACAGCATTTCTAAAAAACATAATCATCTAGATCAGTTTTGAATTGGCTCAGTTACTCTGTTCAAACAGGAATGTATAAGGGAGAACTTCATTCATTATGTAATGGAAAGCCTGGGATCCATCATGTTTTCAGGAAAATTAAACCACAAAACAGATATTGCAAACCACAGACTTTATATCAATGCTAAAGAGAAGGTTTACTCTTTCTGTTTTTAAAGCACAGAATAATTTAATGTTCTGAGCTGGTGTAGCACAAAACTAAAGGCAAGACAAAGGCAAATACATTTTTCTGAGTGAAAATATCAATTTGTGTTATAATATCCCCTTCAGGGGAAAAAAAAAAAAATCCCTGACCCTTGAGAAAATCCTGTCTGTTCGAAACCCCACGTTTCAGCCGTCACAGAAGACACCGCATTGGACAAGGCCACACATTCTTACCTGCTAGTGCGACCAGGTGAGGGAGGCAAAACCTATTTGCCAATGCGATTAACTCAAGTGTGTCCAGTTCCTGACTGGAGGACAGTTGCTTGGTATACAAATAATCTAAAACCGCTTGCATGGAGGTCTTGTTTATGTTGGGAAGAACTACCTGGAAAAGGTATTTAAGAGAAGAGTCTGTAATAATGAAGGAATTTCCATATAGAGTCCACATTTAATTTCTGCCACTTTACCGGACTGTCTCTTTTCCTCTTCAAGTCATTTCAGAAATACAGGGAAAACTTTTTTTTCAAAAAAAGAGATTTCCCATTAAAGTTCAAGAAGCTGCCAACAGGTAAGCAGATCTGGAATCGGATCCTTTGCCAGCTTTCATACAAGCAACTCTACCAAGTTCCTGGAATTGGATCCACATCAAACAGTGAACCTGTTCAGCGCTTTCTAGCCTCTGAGTGGTCAGCACTGTGGGATACGTAAAGCCACTGAGCACTTCCCGAGCTGAACCCCCCTTGGCAGAATTCTTGAGCAATGCAATCAATCTCCTCCTGGCAAGGGATATTCTGGGGATTCTGAGAAGAACAGAAACCAAAGGATAATAAAAACCCCACCCCTCTCAGTTTGTTTATAAATAACCAAATTATTCAAGTAAATGATGGGTAGGAAGGGACTGAGAACTGAAGAAACGAGGCAGAGAAAATGTAAACCATTTCTGCCACACACATGTAATTACATGTAACCACTGTGTAGTGAGACTGCCAAGACTAGGACAAAAGCTATCTAGTTTCTCGCCAGCACAACCCTAACTCCACTGCAGGGAAGCCTAAAAGAAGAGAAAAGGAGTGTTAGAAAGCCTGACTGTAACCTATCACTGTAGCATCTCAGCTGTAGTTTGCATACACAGTCACTCCTCCAAAGAACAGGGGAAAACTGATTCTTGCAGGGCTCAAGGCTGCAGCAGGTAAGTCTGCTTCCAATAGCCAAGCTACTCGAGCCCATTGGTCAGCAGCTTGTAACGCACATCATCATAACTCAAGTCACCCTGGCACTGAAGAATGCACTGTGGTACCCTGAAGAACTTGCAGTGAAATAAAAAATGGCAGAGCAGAAAAATAATAATGAAATTATTACGAAGGATTAGATGTACATATAACTCCACCTGACTGCTTGGAAGCAGCCAGCACATGCTTCCTGCTAGGCAGGAGTTAATCGTTGTCTAGCTGGTTGTTAAGTCTTTGAGGGCTTGTGAATTTTTCTTTCAGCTCTGCCTGGACAGATGATATTCAGACCCAGATCTGCTGGTGCTGAAGCATGAGCCTCTGACGCATATCAGCCGCTCCGGGAAGCAGCTCAGTTCTCCGAGTAAAAGGAGCCAGTTGTGAAACTCATTCATTATTAATATATTTTTGTTAGTGCAGAGAACAGTACATTCAGTGAATGAGTTTATAAAATGTTGTCCCAAATACAGAAAAATAAGTAAAAACTAGGTGTTTTGGTTTTCTTTTTAATAAACCGGTCAATTCATATCCATCTATATTGTAAAACTTCCAAAAGCATTACTGAATGCTTTGAACTCTACAAAATGGAACCTACATATTTTAAATTGGAAAGATAAGCTAAGACTGTTAAGTTAATCATTAAAAATAGGCTGGTAGAAAATGAATGTATATTCTTCATTGCCAAATGTTCCTTATTAGAATCAAGCTATGTATTTTTAATGAACCACTTGTCGAGCCTGCCTCTGGGAAAGGAAGCATGTTTACAGCTGTATTAGAAGCAGCAAGAAAAATCTAAGTTTCCAGAATATTAAGTACAAAAAACCTGAACTCTTCATATGAAGACGACCTGTAAGTATGGAAAGGAACAAGAAAATCAAAACGAAAAAAAATCAACACCTGGGTACGGCTAAGACACAAGAAAAAAAATACTAGCAGAGTGTTTAGAATTTGAAAAACAGACCATGAAAGCACATGAAAACACAAGGCTTCTGCTGCAGCATCGTACTTCGAGGCACCGAGATCTTTTATACTGTACTTTATTCCTGCATTACTTAAGAGGACAAGCTGATGCACTAGGGAATCTGAGCTTAGTGTCTACTGAAGTACTGTGAAGCCAGCCCCCTTTTCTAGTTTAACACTCCACATTCTTTAATCCTCCTTTCCTCTAATTTCTTCCTCAGTACTCCTGCTCAAAGTATTTTCTGTAATGCTTCTGATTGTATAAATATATATGCACACAACTTGAAAACTTATTTTGAAGCAATTCACAAATCAATATTTAATTTCCCTCCCTTTTTAATATTTTAAGGGATTTCAGGTTTAAACACACGTTCCAGCATCGGAGGAAGTCTCATGCCTTGCAGAAAATACGTTATCCTCCTAGGCATCCTAACTTCATGCCTTAAGAAGAAAAGCATCCCAAGTCTACCAGGGAAGACTAAAGAATCATTCCAGGGATTATTGCAACCCTTCAGATAGATACAGAATGTCCTTCCATCACTAAATCCATCAGACATGATAAGCAAAATAGACAAAAATGGACAAATACCTCACTGTTGGAGCTTTCAATAAATGATCCTCCAAACATAGCAGACATCCATTCACAGCTACAGATCAGGAGTGGCTTGTGGGCATTTATGGTTCCATCATCCAATTTAAATGTCACATCTGCCATGGGAACAAAGAAACAGCCATGCTGCAAGTCTGTGTTTGAAGTGAAACTGTGTCTCAAGAACGTGTTTCACTCGCACATCGTTAACCAAGGATTCTTCCACTTCCCACGACCCCTACCCTGAAGATAACTAGAGTTTTATAGAGTTAAGTAAAAAGCCTCACTTAGAAGGGGGACATTGGATCTTCAACACTTTGGAAAATAGGGTCAGTTATTTAGAAGCTTGTGTGTAGATGTTAAGAAATTAAACTGCACAATCCCAGGTTGGTACAGTTGGCCCTGAGCAACACTATAATTTTGGGCTCATCCTTCCTCTTGGAACAATGTAAGCTGTGACAGTTTTTGAAGTCTGTGAAGTGACAGTAACATGAATGAGAAAAGAATTAGTGCTTTTCCCATTAAAGCATGTATTTACTTACCAGAAAATGTTCCTTTGCAAAGGCACTCTTTTATCCGATTAGCTTTTCTGACATGAAATGCTTTAGTAATCTCTTGATTCATGAAGGCTTCTTTATTCATAATATTCTCCACCATCATTCGCAAATCAAATACTTCCAAGATTTCAGCAATCTGAGCTAGTCTTGTGAGATCTTTTTCATTTTCATCCAGTTGCCCTGTGTATAAAAACTGCAGAACAGTTTTAAAAGGTCCGGCCTGCACAGACGAATCCATTTTTACCACAGTTACAGGACACGTCCTATTCGAGACAGGATTCACTTGCATTTCCTTATGCACACTAACAAACCCCTTACCCCAGGATGACAGAGATCTTGTTGCACAATTTGTTTCACTGAGTTCAGGTTCTTGCAAGTTTGAAGAGTCAGTACTTTCTAGTGGGGAGATTTTAACATCAGCAGATTTCAAGGACATCTCGTCGCTGTCACCATTTGTCTCAAGGTGACTTGCCAGAACATCCTTATTTGCATTTTCTTTATTACGCTGTGTTTCATCCAAGTCTGGACTTTCCTCACATTCCATTAAGAAAAGGTCATAAAACTTTGAAGAGGAGGTAGCTAGGTAAATCTTGTGAGCAAAAATGCAGTCCTGCTCTTGGAGAACAAACAGAACATCTGCACACAGTGGGCTGTCCAATAAATATCCAGCTTCATTCATGCTCGGCACAGGACACTCAGGAATTTTGATAACCGGAGGAGGGGCTTTTGGAGGTAGGAATGGAGCCTGAAGCAAAGGTTTTTGGACCTTCTTCAAATGAGATTTCCAGAACTGCAGGTGTCTTCTGGAGATCAGGGCAGCTCGAATTGCATTGTCAAACACATCTTTAATCCCAAACTGGTCAAATACACTGGTTTCATAGTATGGTATCCCAAGTTCCTTGGCAACCTCTCGGCCTCTTTCTGGTGGTAAAATGTCTCCTCTTTTTATTGGCCTAGGGTTAAACAAAAAACAAACATTCTTACACACATCACAGAGAGTTACTCCAGGAAGCATGGAATTTTCTAAAACGTCTCAGCAAAATATCTCTGAGATAACTATAATTCAAATGAAACAAAATATAAAATTAAGCCCACAAAGCCCTTTGGAAATCTACAACCATGGCTCCACAAACTTGGAATTTTGCTTAAGTTTGGTGGCGTCTTTGCAATGTTACTAAAAATATGTAGAAATCATTTGCACAAAATGGAGCAATCCTTCTCTCTGTTAAAGGGAAATTTACACTAAAAATGTTGATAGCATGCTTGAGAACTTTCATTATCTAAAAACCCTCCTAACTTCCCTTTCTCCTCAGATACTCTGTCAGGATCTTTCTTTGCATCCATCATTTAAACTCAAATGGAAATTTTCATGACGCAGAAATGCGACAAATATAGCTAAATATGAAATGAGAGCTATTTCTTAAGCTTACCCTTTTAAACACCATCACAGTAGCCTGTGACAAAAGTGTAACACACTTCAAGAGCCAGACCTGTTTTGGCTGTAGAAGCATAATGTGGGAATGCATGAATTTCCAGAGCACCTCTAGTACATGACATAGCATAAACAAACGAGAAAAAAGTTTGGGCTAGGATCCATTTTCCCAACAAAAGAAATCATCTCACCAGCAGACACGACCCAACAGTGCGTTCTCTGAGCACACCATATTGGGCAGACACACGCTGGTACAGACTTGGCACACTCCAGACAACAGCTTGCTTTATCGCCAGCTAATAATCGGTTCAGGTGGCAGAAATCTGTGCTAAACACGCGGAGTACCGAGTCAAACTTTAGTAATGGTGAAATCAGAAAGCAGGGCAGAAGAATAATTTTGGGAGTTGAAAAAACCACTTCCTTTCGAAGAGTCAAACAAACAGCCCACCCCACCCACACAACCAAGAAATGTTTAATAAACAAACCAACCTATGAAAATCATATTGCCGAGTCAAGAATTTGAATACAATGCAACGCAGTTTTCTAAGAGCCCATGAAACATTAATTCAATCCCTTTAAGGAAATTTATTACAATGCAGTCTTTAATTACCTGATCATGGATATTACTTCCATGAATCTGGTCTCATTCAAATTCATAAAAGGAGGAAATGAGAAGCGAGCAGGTAATTGTGGGACTGTTTGGCCCACACATGTGAATGCTTGTCTTTTGAAATGGAAAAACAAAGCTTCTCCAGAATGACCCCAAACTCTTTTAATCTCAGAACTTCAAAAAATTTAATTTATAACTACTTTATTTTCTGCCATGATCTAGGATTACATTTATAAAAAAGCCCCCAAACACTGAGAGTTAAGAATGGAGTAGAATCTGTTGGTTTAAAACAGTATCTGATAGTAGTGACAGGGTAGGACATGATACACATTTTCAGATGGATAAAGACATATATGAAAACTCCCAGGAATCATTATTCTCTCTCTATTATTGTAGTGTTCAGGCACCTAAACAATTTAGATGTCCAATGTGAAAAAATACTGTGGGAAACACACAATAACTGTATGTGTTAAAGAACTAACCAACTCAGACAACAGAACTAGAAAAAAACACATGTTCTCATTTTACAGAAAAAGGAAACCAGGCTCTACCACTTCTCTTCTGAAAGTACGGTACCTGATTACCAAGACAATTTTTTAAAGAAATTCTATTTTTGTTTAAAGTTTACCTTGCCAAAGGCCGTCTGCCTCTGTTAACAGCCTCAAGATCTGCATAACGGAGATCTAGCTGGCAGCCCACCAGAATGACAGGTGTGCGAGGACAGAAGTGCTTGATTTCTTGATACCACATCGTCTTCACGTGATTCAGGGAATTAGGATTAGCAATAGAAAAGCACAGAACCACTACATCAGACCTAGAAAAGCAACAAGAAGATATCCAATTAAAACCCAGACAACACGCTTTCCACTGACTCTTCACCTATTTTCATCACTCCAACTTAAAGCTACTCCACTCCACACTTAAAAAATGCGCTGACACCCAGATGTCAGAATACATGTTCGTGCAGAGGTCTGATAGAAGCTACACATTTCACCACAAAAGCATGGAGCACAAAGCCACATACCTAGGAAGCACTGCCCCTCCATGCCAAGAGATGATCCCTGCACGTATGAACGGAGCACTAGGAAGAGAGGTAGGGCTGCTTGCCATTCTCTGCGCTTACACTACAGTTATTCACAGGCTGTCATTGCTCAAGAAATAATTCTGCTGACTGGACACCTAAACTGCAATTCAGAGATCGCTGGTGCTTAGGAATTAGAAAGGAGTTATGACAAACTGCGCAACAGCCACACAGGCAGACACAGATCACTTCTGAACTTGTCATGGAGAAATACCTTTACTGCACCATTTTAGGTACTGAGGTGGGCTCCTCTGCAATACCCTTTGCACAGCAATTCTCCAGCACCTTTAATAAATAACCTGCTAGAAGGGCAAATTAGCGGAGAATGACCGCTTCCACAACAGAAGCAAAAATAAACATTACCATGAAAATAAGGTCAGTAGAGTGTAGAGTAGGGCAGTGCCTTAAATCAGAGTAAGCATGACAACATTTGCAGGCTTTTAAAGGTTTTAAAAAAACATAAAGTACTTCACTAAATAAACTCAGTTTATAAATCATAAGCATGAGGATGAAGGTTGACAGTTCATCCACTAAACCACCACCTAGCTCTTGTCAGACCTAGCACCCTAAGGCAGAGAAATGCTTGAATACTTTTCTCAGGGCATTTCTAACTTGGGTCCATTTCATTATTTATAAACTGGGATGGGATGTTACAAAGCAGTTCTCAAGCTCTTGGGTCTGTCATGGGGAAAGAAAAAAAAAAAAGCAGAAAAAAAGGTTGAGTTGAAATTCTTAAGAAAATTGAGGCGAAGGGAGTTACTGCTACAGAACTGTCAGCAAGATAAGCTCAGTAATACCATGTCTATCTCACTTCAATTACTCTTTGATTTAGCACAAAGATGTTGTGTCTGCAGATTGTGTAATGTATAGAGCAGCAGCAGTGAATCTTAACATTCACCTCTGAAATAATGAAATACCTCTTCAGTACTGCCGCTTTCTACGTTTCATGGAGGGCACAGATATATCCAGCAAGAGCCTTTCTCAAGATAGCTGCAGACAATACGGGTAGTGCTGTGAGCATAAATCTAATGCAAGAGAAATGCTCCTGCCCCAAGTCTGTAGCTTACATAAACTGCCACTCGTGTCATATTTAGAAACGAGGCCCTTTCAATGGGAAAGTCACCTACTGAACAGTGAAGTGGAAAGCAGCTAATACACTGGTCTTCTACATAATCGAGGCAAATATCCTTTAAATTCAAACTCGCTCTATTCAAGGTAACGCAGGAGTAAAACCTAGGCCCAGCAGATGTTTGCTTAGCACCCAGAAAGCAGAAATCTATATACAGCTAAAATTAAAAAACTGTGTTACATATTCCAACTGGTCAACTGTTGTTTAATTCAAGATCATCAGGACTGCCGGCGAGGCAAGTGTTGGCTGTCTGACTGGTCCTAACTTAACTAAGCATCTTAGAGAGACCGACTGTCTTGCATCCTTCAGGAATTAATACCCTAGCCAAGTAACTGCAGACACGAGTATCCAACCCTCCTGACTCTACAAACCACAAGACACTCATCACGTCTCCCTCCCAGAAAACTGAAAGGAAGCAGAGTTCCAGCAGGAGTTCACAGGCAGGAGATGACAACAGCTTCCCTATGGCGCTGCTGCTGCCCGATGCTGGGCTGGCCACAGATGTGGGCTCCTGAGAAGAGCCAGTGACGATCTGTGTCCTCAGACTGGACAGGCCCAGACTACCCTGCAGACTGGCCCCAGCACAGCCCCGCATGTGTTACAGGCCTTGCCAAGCGAGTCTCACGTTTTTGCTAGAGAGCTGCATGTGGTTCTTGAGCTGTCTATGGGGACACGCTGAGAGACTTGGGCTTATTCAGCCTGGAAAAGAGAAGGCTCCAGGGAGATCTTATTGTGGCCTTCCAGTAGCTGAAGGGGTTTATAAGAAAGGTGAGGATAGACTTTTTAATAGGGCCTGTAGTGACAGGGGAAGAGGTGATGGTTTTTAACTGAAGGAGGATAGATTTAGACTGGACTTAAGGAAGGCATTTTTTATAATGAGGGTGGGGAGGCACTGGGACAGGTTGCCCAGCTGTGGATTGGATGCCCCATCCCTGAAAGTGTTCAAGGCCAGGTTGGAAAGAGCTTTGAGCACCCTGGTCTAGTGAAAAATGTCCCTGCCCATGGCAGGGGGGTTGGACTATAGATGGTCTTTAAAGGTCTTTTCCAACCCAAACCTTTCTGTGATTCTGTGAACTCATCACCTCTGACTTTCCCTGCGCAACCATAAAACTGAGCTGGGGAAAGCTGGTTTCTTCACCCGTCACTCACAGCACACATAACCTTGCACTGACGGACATTTCCATCTTACTGCCTTCCGAATGCAGTGAAAAAACAGAATAAAGAGGTAAAACAAATGTCATTTGCATTTTATTTATCCTGTGTTAAAACCTGGACTTCCCCATAAAATTAATATCCTGAGAATTCTGTACTGGACAGGAAGAAATAAATGGCCGTGTGCCATAAGGAGGACAGATGGGAAATCACTGGGTAGTGACAGTTCACATGCTGAACCAACACCACAGCCGGGCCTGCTAGCTCACAAAATATATCCACCTTATCATAATAAATTCGGTTTTCATTCAAGTCATAAGCATGATTTGCACTCTTAGTACAAACTGGAGACTGTATTATACGAGGAAGATTAACTCTCTACATAGGACTCTGAACATCTGGGGAAAACTGCCCTTTAGAAACTTTAATTAAAAAACCTACAATTCCTTTTAATGTCAAGGCACTTTTACAACTTGCTAACGTCTCAGTATAAAGTTTAGTTTGACATTTGTTCATAAAGGGCAGAACCTGTCAGGTTAAAGTAACGCATTAATATTTCCCGAACATTAAAAATTTACCAATGTTATTTTAAAATTCTCAGGGAACATTAAAGGATAGGATTTGAAAAAAAACCACCCTAATTTATTGCCATTTTTGTGCGGTTTTGTTACTTGGAGAATGAGAAAGGATGAATCAGGTTTACTTTTGCTTTCTTCTTTCTCTCTGCAGCAATATATTCACAAATATAAGCTGCTTTTTACTAAAAAGAAATGTCATAATTATTTCCCAGTAAAATTTTGGAATGATTCAAGAAGCATTTCCATAGACTTGAAAACCAAAATGTGCTTTAGAACTCCATCGCATTCCCCCTAGAGGTGGGCAATAGATCAGGCACTGTGTGCATCCACCTTTGTTAAATACAATGAAAGTGTTATGATTACACTTATGCATATGCTGATGTTTGATACTGAAGTATCACAAGAAACATTAATTATTACAAATAACTCTTCAAAGAGAAAGGGTAGCTTGGATATCCAACACATTCTCTTGTAGAGTCAGTAGTACATGTTGGAAATGCATAACTGATTTATTCTTACATTCTGCTTTCCAAAGGTTTATCAGAAGAAATTGTGAATCATCTACTGTATTATTTGAAACATCTGAACATACTTAAATATCACCAAAACTCCTAACTCCTGTGTGACTCACTCGAGCGTGTGAAAACCCACCGGTGAAACCCACTGCATCACCCATGTAAGAAAACAGGTTTCTTTCTATTCGCTGGGGCTCCAAACAGGAGAGAACACGATGTTGATGTGTGGCACTTGGCAGATGGAAAAGGGGAACAGATTCTCTCAGCTGAAGGCAGATCAGCCACCACTCACCTCTCTGCCCCTTCCTGGCTGCCCAGACTCCTGCACTGGGGTCTCACATTAAAGCGTAAGAGCACTCCACGCTCCCCTTGGAGTTGCAGAAAGAATTCTTAATGCAAAACATACACACCTGGGGTCAGCCCTGCTTGGCCTAAACATAGTTATGGACTACCTGTAGGAGGCTTCTGTGGGCAAGGAAAGAACATTACCACCATTCTGAGAAGCAACCCAACTACGTAACTTAGGTGTTACCTCAATGCATTCAGCAGTATTTTCCCAAAATTGAATAAGAAGAACTTCTGATGGAAGAAAACTACCCCTTTTTAGATTTCAGAGAATGAGAAGAAACCCTGAAGAGCACCAAATCCCGGGCAGGAATCAGCACGTGGTGTGCTGCCGCCCTGGGAACTCTCACTGTGTGAGTTAGGCACCATACCAGATGTACCGAGAGCAGCCCAAGTCACTTCCGAAAAGCAAGGAGTACAGTGCTGACAAAGACAGGACAACTTTAAATTATCAACCTCAGGCTGCAGCAGTGGTCAAGCTACAGGTCACCACTGCAGCCATCTGGAAGTTACCCTGCAGTCACTACAAAGAGAACTCCTGAGCTGAGGGAGGAAAAGCAGTATATTAGCAAAGTAACACGCCTTTCTGACAGGGCTGTTGGAAGCAGCAGAGAAGTTAGTGCTTTCTAACTAGGGCTGTTTTGTGTAACAGAGCGCTCTGTTTCTCCGGGACTGAGATTTTGAAAGACTCATCTGCTTACATGCTATGTGTTCCAGAGCTGGTGCAGTGAGCTGCTCTGCGGATGTACCTGCACACCACGTGACTGAGCCATCCCTCAATGAGCAACTGCTACGTTATTTTCACTTATTTTAGACAGGATGTCAAGGAAACAGCAATATCAAATGATTCTCTCATATTTTCCATGGCAAGCGTGTTTAAAAATTTAATGTTCCACAGTCTGAATCTAGAGTTCTATACTGTGGTGCTGGCTGCCGACACGGGTTTATGTCTCATTAAGGAAACCGCCTTCCTTCTGAAATGTACACACTGCACGCTGCTATTGCTGGTTTATA